GGCAATCTTTTTGGTTTCTCAAATGAGTATGTGTTCCATATTAGAACTATACATTTGGCAGACACAAACCTTCCGATATGTTACACTAAAACTGTATACTACATACCGATCAAAATGAAATAAGTATGTAGTATAAAATTGCTTTAGGGGTAGGGGGTGATAACCTATTTTTCGAGTGAGGTTCTGAGGAGGAGCCAGGAATGAAATGCTAAAAGTGTGATAATAATAGATTTTGTGGTATTAATTATGAAACTATAATCACTGTTAAAATAGTGTTCAATACATCAAGTGTAGAGCGATATATACAATGTAAATGTATATCTTGTGTACAGGGTAAATCATATATCTTTTTCAGAAAAAAGAATCATGGTGATGAAAGACACAACTGTTCAAAAATTCAGCTGCACACAAATCAGAAAGATAGCTTGCGTTGCAAGGTAACATACGCCCACTGGCAGCTGTCAGAAATAATAAAACAGTCTTTAGTGACTAAAGTACGAATTTTCTCATATTGAAGAAATTATTTATGCTGAATAATTCCACAAATTTTTTTAAATCAATATCAATATCAATATCAATAACAACAAACAATTAAATCACACAGCTCTAATCAAGGGCAAAAAAAAACAACTTTTGACGCGTGTTTACAAAGTCAAGGGCAATAACTGAAAAAATGTTCATCAAAAATATCTCTTGTTAGAACTTGTCCGAGATTTTATCAATTCCAATGATCACACCAAGTTTCATCAGAATCGGTTGAAAACTGTAGCTTCTATTGTGCTCACAAACGAATTTTAACGCGTTTTTCGTAAGTTAATGGCAATAACTCAAAAAATGTTCATCAAAAATATCTCATGTTAGAACTTGTCCGAGATCTTATCAATTCCAATGATCACACCAAGTTTCATCAGAATCGGTTGAAAACTGTAGCTTCTATTGTGCCCACAAACAAATTTTAACTCGTTTTTCGTAAGTTAATGGCATTAACTCAAAAACATTTCATCGAAAATGCGTCAAGTTAGAACTTGTCCGAGATCTTATCAATTTCAATGATCACACCAAGTTTCATCAGAATCGGTTGAAAACCGTAGCTTCTATCGTGCTCACAAACAAATTTTAACGCGTTTTTCGTAAGTTAATGGCATTAACTCAAAAACATTTCATCGAAAATGCGTCAAGTTAGAACTTGTCCGAGATCTTATTAATTCCAATGATCACACCATGTTTCATCAGAATCGGTTGAAAACCGTAGCTTCTATTGTGCTCACAAACAAATTTTAACGCGTTTTTCGTAAGTTAATGGCATTAACTCAAAAACATTTCATCGAAAATGCGTCAAGTTAGAACTTGTCCGAGATCTTATCAATTTCAATGATCACACCAAGTTTCATCAGAATCGGTTGAAAACTGTAGCTTCTATTGTGCTCACGAACAAATTTTGACGCATTTTACAAAGTCAAGGGCAATAACTCGAAAATCGTTCATCAAAATTGCATCAAGTTAGAACTTGTCCGAGATTTTATCGATTCCAATGATCACACCAAGTTTCATCAGAATCGGTTGAAAACTGTAGCGTCAATCCAGCTCACAAACTATTTTTAGCAAATTTCGACGCATTTTAACAAAGTCAAGGGCAATAACTCAAAAACCGTTCATTGAAAATGCGTCAAATTAGAATTTGTCCGAGATCTTATCAATTCCAATAATCACACCAAGTTTCATCAGAATCGGCTGAAAACTGTAGCTTCAATCCTGCTCACAAACTATTTTTAACAAATTTCAACACGTTTTAACAAAGTCAAGGGCAATAACTCAAAATCCGTTCATCAAAAATGCGTCAAGTTAGAACTTGTCCGAGATCTTATCAATTCCAATGATCACACCAAGTTTCATCAGAATCGGTTGAAAACTGTAGCTTCAATCCTGCTCACGAACTATTTTTAACAAATTTCAACACTTTTTAACAAAGTCAAGGGCAATAACTCAAAAACTGTTCATCGAAAATGCGTCAAGTTAGAACTTGTCCGAGATCTTATCAATTCCAATGATCACACCAAGTTTCATCAGAATCGGTTGAAACTGTAGCTTCAATCCTGCTCACAAGCTATTTTTAACAAATTTTGACTTGTTTTTACAAAGTTAAGGGCAATAACTCAAAAACCGTTCATCGAAAATGTGTCATGTTAGAACTTGTCCGAGATCTTATCAATTCCAATGATCACACCAAGTTTCATCAGAATCGGTTGAAAACTGTAGCTTCAATCCTGCTCACGAACTATTTTTAACAAATTTTGACGCATTTTAACAAAGTCAAGGGCAATAACTCAAAAACCGTTCATCGAAAATGCGTCATGTTAGAACTTGTCCGAGATCTTATCAATTCCAATGATCACACCAAGTTTCTTCAGAATCGGTTGAAAAGTGTAGCTTCAATCCTGCTCACGAACTATTTTAACAAATTTCGACGCGTTTTAACAAAGTCAAGGGCAATAACTCAAAAACCGTTCATCGAAAATGCGTCAAGTTAGAACTTGTCCGAGATCTTATCAATTCCAATGATCACACCAAGTTTCATCAGAATCGGTTGATACTGTAGCTTCAATCCTGCTCACAAACTATTTTTAACAAATTTTGACTTGTTTTTACAAAGTTAAGGGCAATAACTCAAAAACCGTTCATCGAAAATTTGTCATGTTAGAACTTGTCCGAGATCTTATCAATTCCAATGATCACACCAAGTTTCATCAGAATCGGTTGAAAACTGTAGCTTCAATCCTGCTCACGAACTATTTTTAACAAATTTTGACGCATTTTAACAAAGTCAAGGGCAATAACTCAAAAACCGTTCATCGAAAATGCGTCATGTTAGAACTTGTCCGTGATCTTATCAATTCCAATGATCACACCAAGTTTCTTCAGAATCGGTTGAAAAGTGTAGCTTCAATCCTGCTCACGAACTATTTTAACAAATTTCGACGCGTTTTAACAAAGTCAAGGGCAATAACTCAAAAACCGTTCATCGAAAATGCGTCAAGTTAGAACTTGTCCGAGATCTTATTAATTCCAATGATCACACCAAGTTTCATCAGAATCGGTTAAAAACTGGATCTTCAATCCTGCTCACAAACTATTTTTTAACAAATTTCTACGCGTTTTAACAAAGTCAAGGACAATAACTCAAAAACCGTTCATTGAAAATGCGTTAAGTTAGAACTTGTCCCAGATCTTATCAATTCCAATGATCACACCAAGTTTCATCAGAATCGGTTGAAAACTGTAGCTCACGAACTATTTTTAACAAATTTTGACCCGTTTTAACAAAGTCAAGGCGTTCTAAGTCAAGGGCAACCGTTCATTGAAAATATGTCATATTCGAACTTGACCGAGATCTTATCAATCTAAAGCATTACACCAAGTTTTATCAAAATCAGTTAAAAACTGTATTCTCTATAGTGCTCACAAGAAATGTTGACGGACCGACATATGTGAATAAGGAGGTTAAAAGCTTATGAGCTAATTAACTCTTAATCAAGGACTTAAATTGAAATAATTCTTACATTTAGGGTTTAAGAGTTTTAGAAGTCCATAAATGTACTGAAAGCTCATAATAATCTGTTCAACCGTTCCTGCTTTAAGAGCCTCAGAAATGGGAATTCTTAGGCTAAGCAATAATAATCGATATCGGTCATCGTCGGAATATATGGTTTCAAGTTAAAAATGTGACGCATACTTCAGCTAGACTATACAGAAGAAGTAATTCTAATTTGAGGTGTATTTGAAGGGTTTATGGGATTTTCGTTCATTTTAGTACTTCAAAACATATATTTGCATTTCACTGTCACTAACTTCAATGAACCAGTTATGCAAACTGGCATTTTTCCCCAATAGCTGTCAAGATCTTAAGATTTGTGGCAAATCAAACTAACTGATCACATGAAACAGTGCAATTTGTATGAATAATAGTAGCTGAATATAAATATAAAGAATATAATATGTTGGTCTCAATAGCATTTTTGGTGTGTAAGCGCAAATCATCACGCCACAACCATACAAAAATATTCAGTTTGTCGCGTTATCACTTGCGTTTACCCACCAATAATGAAAATGAGACCAAGATTTAATTCTGAAGTTCCAACATCAACTTAAAAATATTGATTTGAACATTCTTTTGACAATTTTACCACTTTTACCTTTCGGACAGTCTATTGCCACCTTATTCTTAGGACAAGTTTAACCTCTTAAATCTTTTGCCACCTTATTCTTAGGACAAGTTCACCTCTTAAATCTTTTGGACTGTCTTTTGCCACCTTATTCTTGGGACAAGTTTACCTCTTAAATCTTTTGGACTGGTTTTTCCACCATATTCTTAGGACAAGTTTACCTCTTAAATCTTTTGGACTGTGTTTTGCCACCTTATTCTTGGGACAAGTTTACCTCTTAAATCTTTTGGACTGCGTTTTGCCACCTTATTCTTGAGACAAGTTTACCTCTTAAATCTTTTGGACTGTGTTTTGCCACCTTATTCTTAAGACAAGTTTACCTCTTAAATCTTTTGGACTGTGTTTTGCCACCTTATTCTTGGGACAAGTTTACCTCTTAAATCTTCTTGACCGCTATTGCCTTATTTCTGGGACTAGATCAAAATATTACACAGGTGGGTCAAGGTAGTGTGGAATTTTGCAATCATTGATTTCAGACCAACCTTGAATTTTTAATTAACATTTGGTGGCCTAAACACTGACTTGAACATTGAGGTTATGCGTTTTTTGTATGCGTATTTGAGTTACTACACTGAAAGCATAAATTTGCAACATTCCAAGTTTCTATCAGAAGTCTTTGTTTTCAATTCCACTTAAACCAAGTTAGTTATGTTGAATGCGAACTGATAGTGACTCCAAATCACTAAAGAGACTTGGAATGCTCACCCTTCTTCCTGGGACTATATAATAATAATATAAATCATATAATCAAGAATACGTTTTTAATTTTTCAATACAGTATTACTTTTTTAACATGTTATTTACTTTTTTTTTAATGTTTTCCCAACCCCTTTTCCATATTTCTCCATTATTCTTTTCAGACTTTTTTACAGCTGATTTGCACTCATCTTGGGAGGGACATGTTTTTCCAGATCTGCCATTAAAATACTTATCAAAATATCTTTTTATTTCTGCTATTTCGTCGTTATCCCAACGAACTCTTTTAACTGTAATAGATTAAAAGAATAACACACAAATGGATAAAATCATGATTAATAATTAACTGCATGGAAAAGAAGATACTAAATTGACCTTGAAATTAATATAAATTGACACTATTCACAATAGATATGGTATGGATTTGGGAATAGGACAAAAGATAATTTGGCTGAAAGGTATGAGGAATTGTTATGAAAATTACAACAATGCAAACCTTTTCTTTTCATGCGTCTCTGTTCATCAAGCAAATCTACAAATTCTTCCGTAGCTTCTTCTGAAAAAATAAATATGAACATCAACAATATTTGTACATGTGGTAAGAATGCTTAAAAATTAGTTTGAATTGAATTCATCAAATTTTATTGATATGGATAGGCCCGTGATTTACATTACTCTTGGCTGTACATATTAAATCGCAGTGTTCATATTAAACTGTACATTGCATATCTTTTTAATAATTTTAGATCATTTAGACTCTGCAGTTAAAAATGTCCTTACCTTGAACAATATCATGATTTTTTTCAGGGTTACCATTATCAGGATTCGAAATATCAATGTCTTCGAGTATATCTGAATTAAATACAATTTTTCAAACAATAAAATTAACATTTTTAATCATTGTTGCTGCTTAATGCGACTATAGATTAAACATTACACATTAAATTGTACATAAGTTGACAAGTTCTTGAAAATAGTAGAATTGTATCAACTCAATAGCAATTTCAATGTGCTTTAGTGGTAATTTTATTCTTTTTCACAAAGAAATAAAAAAAAATAAATAAAATGAAACGCATCCCGTATTCCAAAAGAAAAGTGCTCATCAAATTCCAGACTAATATAGAGATACTTTAATTTCAACTATTCAATATTTCTAGATAAATAACAATTTTAATATGGATACTGATACTCACCATCAAATTGTATTTCAGAAAGTTTTTTATTGGCGTATTTTCCTACCAAGTTATGCTCTTGCATAAGCATCAATTTTGCAATATCAATGCGCTCTATTAATCCAGACGTTTGTCTATAGTATTCATCATGAACTCTTTGACTATGACCGAGGTGGTTACAGACATTTTTCATTTGTTGTTCATCTAAGCTGACAACCTATGATATGGAAAAAAAAAAAAAATTACTACAATTGCATGTCCTAAAAGAATACTACGTCTTAAAATTAACACAAAATCAAAATTCTCAAAATTGGTTCAGTAATGTCAAGGGTTGAGAGGAGAAAATGAGCGCACCATTATTACTGTCTCGCTTGTGAACCTCCTTATAATGAATCTATACATATTATATATTGTTACATGATTTATTAGTAAGCCTCATGTCTGAGGTGCACATCAAATTATCACTAGATATAACCTGAAATGCATTAACCTGTCACAACTACCTAGTTTCAACATACTATCATGGACAAGATCAAAACAATTAAAATAAAATTGTAAACCTGAGATATTGTTGCCGTATGTTTTCTCAAATTTGTTGCTAAAATCCTACTTGGTTGCTTTAATTTCAAACGTCCTTTGATCTCATTTAAAGAATCTCCAGCTCGAACAACTGCATCTCCTGGTAATAAAATGAAACAGGATTGTAAAGAGATTTTTAAAAATATTTTAATGTGTTTTGAGGATTATCACTATCATCAAACACTAAATTAAAGTGGAATTGCTAAGACAAAAGACTGATTGAAAACTAAAATGGTGCAAAATGATGCTACTAGTTTCCCTAGAAACATACAAAAAAAATGTGTCCCTTGAATACTTCATATCATCAATACTTGTCATGCAAATACTTGTTTGTTGAGACGTCAGGATGTACATATAATAACACATGCAAGAGAAATCAGTGGCTCACATTAAAAAAAAACAAAAACTCTATTTGAAGATAAGAGCTAAATTTTTACCTGTGTTAGCAAACATGAATGTGTTAGTTTTCTTAATACCCCCTTTCTCACGTACAGTACTATTTGAAAGAAACTCCATTGCTCTCTTAACTTCAGGTGGTATTAGAAGAGGAACACATCTTCCGGTCTGAAATACATAATAAGGATACATCTTTATGTTAAAACTAAGAATGAAACTTAACTCTGCCAAGGAAATATATGCATTATATTAAATATCTGCCTCTTTTATAAGCATTTTGAAAAAGTGATATGCTAATTTTGTTATGACAGTATATACAACATAAGTTAATTTTACCTTTCCTCGAATTTCAATCAAATCTTGGCTCATCAATAGTTTTTTTTCAAACTGGGACAAATTCTGTCGCAAACCCATTTCAGTTTCATCCAAAGATGGTCTAGCTATGTAAGTATTAACACTGGAAAGAATTAAAAGTTGTCGTTTCAAAAATTTTTCAAGAAACAATTGGCAGAAAGTCAAAAGTAAAGCAAAAATTAAATACTTTGAAGAATGAATAACGCGACCTAAAGACTGAAGAGTTTCATGTGCTAAGATAATCATAGGATAAATTTGTCTGTGAATCCATGTTTAATAACCCTAGATTATTCACAGTCTGAGCTATTCAAGTCCACTTCCTGGCTGTTGCCAACTTGCGAACTTCATGCAAAAATATGGTTCATGGAAGCAAACTCAACAAGTGAATATTCGATCTAACTTTTAGACTTAAAATTTACAAATACATCTCAAACAAAATTACCTCAGACTTTCTAGCTCCCCTGGTCTTCTACGATTGTAAAGTAGCAATCTTGATTCTGTTAAAATCACAACCTCCCGAAAAAGTTGGGCGCTGGGTTGAGACAGGTTTATATCTTTAAGTTCTTTAACCAGAAATAATGCAAGCATCACAATGTCATCAGGATTTGGAAGTGATTTTCCCTTGTTGAAATGTCTCTCGGTCAGAATTACTCTTGCAACTTTAGAAACCTTAACAGACCATTCCATTTGGATAAGTTTTAAAAATTCTGAGGATTCTGTTTTTCCTTTTTCATCTTTTTGTTTAATACTAAATCCTAACTTTGCTGATGCCAAGCGAGATAAGTCATACCCTAATTTAAGGGCTGTGCTGGGATTTTCAAGCTCTAAGTCTTCAGTTTCTTGACAAGCTTTCAAGCAGCATTCCACTACAAGATCAAAGTGGGTGGGAACCAAAAAATCATTCATCGAAGCCATTATATTGCCAGACTCATTTCTCAATATCATAAGAAGCCTAGCTGCTAGCCTCATTCTGAAACTTGTAAAGTGTTTCCTTCTAAGTCTATTTCCAATATTCTTCATCAACCATACTTCACCCAATGACACAATTAGTTGATCAGTTTGAGCGACATCTGTTACTTTGTCTCTCATCATTGATGGGAATACTTCTTTCAGCAACCTTTTAGAAGGTTTAGTCAAGATTTGACCCTTCATGATTTTCGACTGGATGACTGTTGTTCCCTGAGTATAGTCATCTGCTTCGGAGAATTTATTAAGTGGACAATTACTTTTGTGTTTGGTAAGATTATCAAATATAATCCATTCCATACATCTTGGACAGGGCCCATATTTCGCCAGATCAAATGTTTCACTTTCACGACGTCTGCTGAGGATAATTTCACCTTTTTTCTGCTGACATACCTTGGTGTTATGATTATGATTACCCTGATTTCTAAGTAATGTCTGAAGTTGGTTGAGCTTGAATAAGAGGGGACTCTTTTCTTCCTCACTTACTGTTTCCAATATTCTCTTAATATCAAAAATTTGCTTTATTTCTTCTGAGTTTTTATGTGCATGTTCTAAATGGCTTTGAATATTTGTCATAAGTTTTCCACAGAATTTGCAAGAATGTCTCCTGTCGTATGTCCTTCCCAGCTTAGACTCATCATTTGCCTTTTTATGGTACTTTTTAATAAAAACTTCAGGATTGTTGATGTCAGGAAGTTGGTCTGCCTCTTTCACGTTACTTTCAGCTGGTAAACAGCCAAGGTTATCTCGTTCCAAAATACTAGCAGAACGTACATTATGATCTTCATCAGCATGTTGATTTACACCTGCGGTACATTCAGATTGATTCTGATCATCAGCATGTTGATTTACACCTGCGGTACATTCAGATTGATTCTGATCATCAGCATGTTGATTTACACCTGCGGTACATTCAGATTGATTCTGATCATCAGCATGTTGATTTACACCTGCGGTACATTCAGATTGATTCTGATCATCAGCATGTTGATTTACACCTGCGGTACATACAGATTGATTCTGATCATCAGCATGTTGATTTACACCTGCGGTACATACAGATTGATTCTGATCATCAGCATGTTGATTTACACCAGAGGTACATACAGATTGATTCTGATCATCAGCATGTTGATTTACACCAGTGGTACATACAGATTGATTCTGATCTTCATTAGCATGTTGATTTACACTAGTGGTACATACAGATTGATTCTGATCTTCATTAGCATGTTGATTTACACTAGTGGTACATACAGATTGATTCTGATCTTCATTAGCATGTTGATTTACACTAGTGGTACATACAGATTGATTCTGATCTTCATTAGCATGTTGATTTACACTAGTGGTACATACAGATTGATTCTGATCTTCATCAGCATGTTGATTTACACTAGTGGTACATACAGATTGATTCTGATCTTCATCAGCTTGTTGAGGTATCCAAGTATTATTTATAAAGCTAGGTTCAAATAAACACTCTTCAACAAAAATTTCTTCATTTACAGACATAACATCTGATGAATTAACCTCACTGTCTGGAATAAAATCTGGATCTATATCAGAATCATACATTTCTTCAGATTCATCCTGGTTTTCATCTTGTTGATGAATTACAGGTTCATACTGGTTTTCATCTTGTTGATGGATAACAGGTTCATCCTGGTTTTCATCTTGTTGATGAATTACAGGTTCATCCTGGTTTTTATCTTGATGTTGATGAATTACAGGTTCATCCTGGCTTTCATCTTGTTGGTGAATTATAGGTCTATACTGTGTTTTTTTATCTTGTTGTTGATGAATTAGAGGTTCATACTGGTTTTCATCTTGTTGTTGATGAATTAGAGGTTCATACTGGTTTTCATCTTGTTGATGAATTACAGGATCATTCTGGTTTTTATCTTCTTGTTGATGAATTACAGGTTCATACTGGTTTTCATCTTGTTGATGAATTACCGGTTCATTCTGGTTTTCATCTTCTTGTTGATGAATTTCAGGTTCATACAAGTTTTTATCTTGTTGGTGTATTACAAGTTCATCCTGGTTTTCATCTTGTTGATGAATTACAGGTTTATCCTGGTTTTTATCTTGTTGTTGATGATGAATTACAGGTTCATCCTGGTTTTCATCTTGTCGATAAATTACATGTTCATCCTGGTTGTTTTCCTGTAGATGAATTACAGGATCATCCTGGTTTTTATCTTGTTGATGAATTACAGGTTCATACTGGTATTCCTCTTGAAGTACAGATTCAACTTGGTTTTCATTGTGTTGTTGATGAATTACAGGTTCAACTTGGTTTTCATCTTGATGAATTACAGGTTCATACTGGTATTCCTCTTGTTGATGAATTACAGGTTCATACTGGTTTTCGTACTGGTTTTCATGTTGTCGATAAATTACATGTTCATCCTGGTTTTTTTCCTGTAGATGAATTACAGGATCATCCTGGTTTTTATCTTGTTGATGAATTACAGGTTCATACTGGTATTCCTCTTGTTGTTGATGAATTACAGGTTCAACTTTGTTTTCATCTTGTTGATGAATTACAGGTTCATACTGGTATTCCTCTTGTTGTAGATGAATTACAGGTTCATACTGGTTTTCATCTTGTTGATGAATTACAGTTTCATACTGGTATTCCTCTTGTTGATGAATTACAGGTTCATCCAGGTTTTCATCTTGTTGTTGACGAATTACAGGTTCATCCTGGCTTTCATCTTGAATTACAGGTTCATCCAGGTTTTCATCTTGAATTACAGGTTCATCCAGATTTTCATCTTGTTGTTGACGAATTACAGGTTCATCCAGGTTTTCATCTTGAATTACAGGTTCATCCAGGTTTTCATCTTGTTGTTGACGAATTACAGGTATACCAGTTGTTGATGCTCTCTGTTGATATTTTAATTTTCTTGCTTTTTTTACATCTTCTGCAAACTTACTCAAAAAATCACTTTTCTTTTTCTTTAGTTTATCTGAAAAACACAAACTATTTTACATATTTTTCAAGATTAAGTATGAAGACAAATTCTATGGACTTAAATGGACTTTATAAAAAAAAATTGCCAGTCCTCAATTAGGTATTGCAGATATTTTAGAATTAATAAGCATATAATGCACATTTTGTGCAGAAAAATCGATGTCAGAGTGCATCAACATTGAATCCTAAAGCATAAAGCTTCAGAACATATACTATTTCAATTCTCATGTTAATGTAACAGTAAATTGTTGGGTTTTATAAGTAAGTAGTGTTGAAAAGTTTCGGTTAATCATTTTTGGATAGATTTTTAAGATATTGAAGAATAAACAGAAAAATACCGCAAGACATTTGAGCAATATCGAGAATGACGATTTTAGTTTACAACATGTTGAACACAAATTTCTAGTCATAGTCATTGGTAACAAGAATATTATAAATATAAACTTATCCAAATACTTTTTGAATATATCAATTTTTAATTTCTTTATTTTCTAAAACACAAGTAAATCGGCGATTTGGAAACGTGGCTGCCTCCACTGACAACAAATGAAAGACAGCTATTTTGAGTACTTTACGAACTTCCACATTCTGCCATCTTTAAAAAGTCAAATCTTTTGGGACCTCAGTTTAGGTAAACTTTCTCACAAATGTGTCGATTAGCCTAAGCTTACTGGCTCGCAAATGCACAGAATATCAAATTTAATCGGTCTACAAAAACACCTAATAAATTTCAAGTTCTATCTACCTATATGACCCAAGATTAGTAAACAGTAAACATGTTAACAAGGGCTGTGATGATGGCGCAGGTGCCATTTATGTAGTATCACTAACTGAACTTTTCAACAAACATGTATTGTATTGCAAATCACCTGCATCGCCACAGCCCTAACATAAACAATTAAAACAAAAAGGAAGAAAAGTAACATGAACAATTTAACATGAAGTTACTTGTGCTAGCTATAATAAGTGTCCGAGCTTCATCATCCATATATGGGATAACTTTACTAATGGGTAAAGTATTTCTGAAAGGTAAAGGTAACCACTAAAATCATAATAATAATAATAGTTCACTTATATTACGCATATTACTTTTTAGTTCCTATTGCCCCCTCAATCAATATATTTCTGTGAATGGAATAATACTCAAGAATTATTGAACAAGAAAGTTTTAAGATTTTTCTTTAAGAAGTCGATAGATATTGAAAATCGTAGTGTAGATGGTAAATTGTTCCATAAAACAGGTGCAGAGTAAGAGAAAGCTTGTTTGGTGATTTTGAGGTTTACTGATGGCACACTAAAAAAACATTGATTTAAAGCTCTTATAGTTCTTGTGGGGTCTGAAAATTCAGTCATGTAATAATATTTTTAATTTTTTGACTGGAAACCAATGGAGGGAATTCAAGATTGGAGGGAATTCAAGATTGGGGAGACCGATTGCTGGAGTTTTTCTATTTGATAATCTGCAAATCAGTGAAAGAGACATTGTGATAGTCTAATTTAGTTGTTATAAAATTATCAAATTTTCATCCATACACTAAATAAGGGAAATTTTACATTCCTTTCAGATCTTCAAATAATAACTGTTAGCACATTATTCTTGGATGATCACAAAGCTCTTAGGACTTTATGAATCCATAGAAAGTAATTCTGAATGTGGACAAATAAAGCTCATAATACTGGACTTTAGTTTTAGCACATTATTCTTGGACATTCATTAAACTCTTAATAATATAGACTTACATTTGTGGCTCATCAAAAAAAACAATTGAGACCTTATCCTTGTCTCTTTTCGAGATGAACCCTGGCCACCACACACCAAATTCCAATGGGCATAAAACTAGATCTCCTGAAAAGAGAAATATCAAACAAAATCAATAAAACAAACCAAAAAATGATGTCAAAGCACATTTCATTTTCAAAATTAAAGCTATCCAAAATAAATTTTCCTCACTCAATTTAAGGAATCCCATCTCCTGAAAAATGCATCCCATCTTTTAATAGTGATGAATAGCTATTGCAAATAAAGTAAGCAGTATAAGAGACAGAAGTATTTGTTCAGACAAAAGGTACATGTTCTTCCATGTGTTGACCTCCATTGTTAATATGGCATTCTGGGAAACTAAGCTCATAATTCTTTGAGACTATATCTGTCATTTAATTGCACAGAGAGATTCTAGGATATTCTCAAAGAATTATGAGTTTACAGCAATAAAGAAAAAAAAGTATGACTGGTCAGCAAACAATATTTTTTAACACTATAAAAAGCCATTCAATTAAAAGTATTGGTAGTACATAGTATGGTAGCTTTTATTCATAACAAAAATCCACTATATTCGATACTCAACTGGAATAATCTTTCTAAGATTTATGATTAGTGTACTATCCACTTGAAAGGTTCTATAGCAAAGTCAATTAGTAGAGCATTCAATCATGACATCATTACCACTACCAGGTGTGATAGTCAGATGACCTTGAATAAGCCATCTTTACTCAGTCGACCCAGATCTAAATGGGTATGGACAATCTTGGAAAGATCAATGCCAAGACCAGTTGGAAGAAAGGATCTTCATGGGAACCCCATGTTCCTTTGGCAACAGTATACAATCTTACCGCTGCTCCCCATGACACGATATCCTCGTCATTAATGATTAGTAAACCCTTCGCATTGAGCTCGATTTGAAACTTGACAGAAATATACTATGTGCCCTAGATATTAGGTTTACAGAGTGGCAGTGAAATCTCAACCTCTCCTTATCCAATTCTTACCTTTTTTTAAATCTTGTCTAGGCTTTTTAGCATCTACTACAAAATAGAAAAATGCACAATACAAGTATCATTACTAGAACTGAGCAAAGCACAGCTCTAAGCATGGCTTTGAGCACTAATCTTTTAGACTTTTTGTGTAATTAGCTTTCAACCTCGACTCATTAAACTTGTAAACAATAAATTAATCCTCTTAAGTATCTGTAAATCAATTAGTGACAACACATTGCATATCTAAATTGTATCTGCAGTCTTTATGACAAAGTATATCAAAATTTAGTTGAATGAAATTGCACTTGATCAGGGTACCATGGTATACAGCCATGTAAGAAAGCTAAAATGTCTGATAGTTTTGTTTTATTTACATCTCAACTCGATGTAGAACAATAGTTCCGTTACAGTCACACCTTTATCCTGACTTATGACTTATACATTGTACTTACCAACATCATGTGCCTTAGGTTCAATATTGTTTTTTCGTTTTCTTGGCATCTTTTAAAGTCAAAAACTCTAGAAAAAAAACATAGCAAACCATCAATAATCTTTCTAGAATATATTTCCGTGTACAATGCGCAGTGTTTTACCCTATAAAGGTGATCAAAGGTGTGAGTATGGAAGAACGTATCTCGCAAGACAATGTCCCATCAATGTCACATATATCTTATTATGTTCACAGTAATTTTTACGTTTTTATTCCTTTATGAATTTTATAAATACGTATTTCTTAACAATGGAATTCAGAGTAGCGCCAACGTCTTGTTTTCCCGCGTTAGGTAAAAAATATATCAAAGACGGCTTGTTTCGGAGGGCTTTGATTACAGTGGTGTAACCTATTTTCGTGGATATAAAGATTCAACACCGAATTTCGTCAAAGTTAAAAAAACGAAATTTTTTTTTTATGTCTTAGATGTTTCCTCAGACATTCTACAAAATAATTAAAATTGGTTTATTTCGATTTTCTTTATGAATCCTTCACTTTGACCCATATTTCATGAATCACCTATTTTCGTGTACAATGTTTGATCTATAAATAAGTCGAGAAAAACAAGTTGTATGGATACCGGGTGGTAAAATTAACTTTTCTTAATATTTATCTTTAATATCAATTCATTATAACTAGTGACAATTCCTTCAAAAAACCACAATTTTTTTTAAAAAAAATAATGACTGACAAAATAAGATACGTAGCGTGATTTATTGCTAAAAGTCACTGAAACAACATAAGAATATGGTCCACTTTGTGTTCCATAGAAATTTTCTGCTGACACGGAATCTGCTAGTTGATCACGTGACTTCATTCGTTGGACTACATTCTAGCAGACGACACTTGGAATTCCGAATTGGGATTATAAGGAAATTCGGCCGATAAAAAAGGTGACGTTTGGTAATAACTGAAATCCGCCATTATGTATTTGTCAAAGTATACATTAATACATTTTACCTTGCTTGAAACTACTTGATTCATTCTACTAGCTGATATTGTACAGAAAACCCATGTTTATCAAAACAAACTAATGCAGAGGTCGCGCAGGGTCGCGCAGGGTCGCTCGTGTAAATTATTAATCTTTTCCGGAAATCCACGAATAATAGGTTTCCACGAAATTAGGTTACTTGACTTGTGTAAATTAATGATAGAGCTATAATCTTTTATGTCCCAAAATTGCAGCCTCTTACCAGAAAAGACTTAAAAATTTATTCAATTAAAATAAGCCAGAAGTTTTTATTAGAACTTTCGCCAGATGTTTTTATCAGAATTTTCAGTTTAGGATCGACATGTCTGTGTAAGGCCATGTTAAAGAGCGATAAAATATAGTTCTTAAAATGATTTTGGGGACTAAAAAAATTTTATACATCTAATGTTCATAGAAAATAAACTTGAATAAACTCAAATAACTGAAAACAGTAAGATACCGTTAATTTGTCACACGTTTAATTGAAGTAAGGCTTACATGTTGGAGAGAAAAAGCGGGATATATCCTACTCACTCATGGCCAGGTGTTGACCACATGTTTACGCGTGATATATTGCAGGCTAGCAGACGATTTTTATTATAATGACCATATCATCCAAGCTTGTCAAATCACGTATCAAAAGGGTTTATTTTCAATTCATT